TCGTCGTCTTCCTCCCTGTACACCCAGGACGCGGTGGACGCCGGGAGCACGTCCATGGCTGGGGATCACCACGCGACATGCATTTAGTTCCCCCTCGGCGTCTACAAGGCCCCTTGCCCCCTGGAACCCTAGCCACTATCCCCTATTCCCACTCGCTCTCCTTCCCGATTTGGAGAGGCACCCAACGCGGTTGTCGCTGTTGTCGCATCGATCCAAGTTGGTATCAGAGCCGGCTGCCTATAGGAACCCCCTTCCAAACTCCTTGGTCGAAGTTGAGTCCAGTCTTTGAAAAACTATTTTATTAACATTGTTGGGTGGCTTGTGTTAGTTATACCTGGCAATGGTAGGGTTTTTACACTGATACCTTGTTGAAGTCATTGCTCCGATATGCCCGAACTGATTATTTAGGGTGAAAATTTAGATGTAGCCTTGGGTGGCTGGATCCAGTGACGGCGACGATTGAGCGTCACTTCATTTATGAAAGGCGTTGCTTTGAAGAATCTCGTCATCCGTGTCGTGTCATTAGATGATTGGCACAAATATGGTCATTGTTGTAGTTTTTTATCGCACATCTGATCATCTTTCCCCTTGTCTACGCATGGCTTTGGTCTTACATGATTTCGCTATTCGTCGACATATTTTTGTTTGCGTGTGTTGGTGTTGGTTATGTGCATCCCAACTATATAGCAGTCGGGTGTGTGCCCAATGTGTTTGTATCCTCTTAATGCTCCATTTTGAGTTAATAAGATTCATCATTTGTCCAAAAGAACAACTCCTTCCTTATCCCGAGCGGGTCTCTTACCCACCTGCAAATATCAACAACTCATTCCTTCTCCCGATGCACGTGTCGAGCCTTCTCCCACTCCGTTCATGCCCTGGAGCTCCATCACCATGGCTTGTTGCAAATCCATCGGTGATCCTGCAGCTCATAGTGGTTCAGCAGCAACGGCAGTGGCGGTGCTTGCAACTGCGGATGGCGGCCGTTGGAATTGCAAATTGATGCTCATTGCAGGTCACGCGCAGCCACGCCTCTGATACGTCTCCAACGTATCTATAATTTTTGATTGTTCCATGCTATTATATTACCCATTTTGGAAGTTTATGGGCTTTACTTTACACTTTTATATCATTTTTGGGACTAACCTACTAAATGGAGGCCCAGCCCGAATTGCTGTTTTTTGTGCCTATTTCAGTGTTTCGAAGAAAAGGAATATCAAACGGTGTCCAAACGGGATGAAACCTTCGGGAGTGATCTTTTTTGAACAAATGCAAACCATGAGACCTGGAGTGGACATCAAGCAACGAACGAGGCGGCCACGAGGGTGCCCGGCGCACCCTAAGGGGTGTGCGTGCCCCCACTCTTGTGGGCCCCTCATGGCTCCACCGACCTACTTCTTCCTCCTATATATATCGACGTACCCCGAGAACATCCAGGAGCACCACAAAAACCTAATTCCACCGCCGCAACCTTCTGTATCCGCGAGATCCCATTTTGGAGCCGGGGAATCGACCATGGAGGGCCTCTACATCATCTCCAAGGCCTCTTCGATGAGTTGTGAGTAGTTTACCACAGACCTTCGGGTCCATAGTTATTATCTAGATGGCTTCTTCTCTCTCTTTGAATCTCAATACAAAGTTCTCCTCGATCTTCTTGGAGATCTATTCGGTGTAACTCCTTTTGCGGTGTGTTTGTCGAGATCCGATGAATTGTGGGTTTATGATCAAGTTTATCTATGAGAAATAATTGAATCTTCTCTGAATTCTTTTGTGTGTGATTGGTTATCTTTACAAGTCTCTTCGAATTATCAGTTTGGTTTGGCCTACTAGATTGATCTTTCTTGCAATGGGAGAAGTGCTTAGCTTTGGGTTCAATCTTGCGGTGTCCTTTCCCAGTGACAGCAGGGGCAGCAAGGCACGTACGGTATTGTTGCCATCGAGGATAAAAAGATGGGGTTTATATCATATTGCTTGAGTTTATCCCTCCACATCATGTCATCTTGTTTAATGTGTTACTCTGTTCTTATGAACTTAATACTCTAGATGCAGGCAGGAGTCGGTCGATGTGTGCAGTAATAGTAGTAGATGCAGAATCGTTTCGATCTACTTGTTGTGGACGTGATGCCTATATACATGATCATGCCTAGATAATCTCATAACTATGCACTTTTCTATCAATTGCTCGACAGTAATTTGTTCACCCACCGTAATACTTATGCTATGTTGAGAGAAGCCACTAGTGAAACCTATGGCCCCCGGGTCCATCTTTTATCATATAAGTTTCACATCTACTTTAATTTCATCTTTTACTTTCCAATCTATATCATAAAAATACCAAAAATATTTATCTTATCTTATTATCTCTATCAGATCTCACTTTTGCAAGTTACCGTGAAGGGATTGACAACCCCTTTATCGTGTTGGTTGCGAGGTTCTTGTTTGTTTGTGTAGGTACGAGGGACTTTTGAGGAGCCTCCTACTGGATTGATACCTTGGTTCTCAAAAACTGAGGGAAATACTTACGCTACTTTGCTGCATCACCCTTTCCTCTTCAAGGGAAAACCAATGCAATGCTCAAGAGGTAGCAAGAAGGATTTCTGGCGCCGTTGCCGGAGAGGTCTTCGCTCAAGTCAAGACATACCAAGTACCCATCAAAAACTCATCTCCCTCGCATTACATTATTTGCCATTTGCCTCTCGTTTTCCTCTCCCCCACTTCACCCTTGCCGTTTTATTCACCCTCTCTTTCCCGTTCTCCTCTCTCTTTCGCTTGCCTCTTGTGTGCTTGTCTGTTGGATTGCTTGTCACGATGGCGCAAGATAATACCAAATTGTGTGACTTTTCCAATGCCAATAATAATGATTTCCTTAGCACTCCGATTGCTCCTCTTAATGATGCTGAATCTTGTGAAATCAATGCTGCTTTGTTGAATCTTGTTATGAAAGATCAATTCTCCGGCCTTCCTAGTGAAGATGCCGCTACTCATCTAAACAACTTTGTTGATTTGTGTGATATGCAAAAGAAGAAAGATATGGATAATGATATTGTTAAATTGAAGTTATTTCCGTTTTCACTTAGAGATCGTGCTAAAATTTCATACGGGATTAACCGAACCCTTGGCATTGTGGTTCAACCGATAAAAGATCTTCATGGAATATGTAGGAACCAACATGGGCATCCAGGTCCCGCTATTGGTTATTGACCGGAGAGGTGTCTCGGTTATGACTACATGATTCCCAAACCCGTAGGGTCGCACGCTTAACGTTTGATGACGCTAGAGTAATATTGTGATATGCATGTTGGTGACCGAATTTTGTTCGGAGTCCCGGATGAGATCCCAGATGTCACGAGGAGTCTCAGAATGGTCGAGAGGTAAAGATTTATATATGAAAAGTTATTTTTAGGATTCTGAAAAAGGTGCATTTTTTCAGTATTGTATAGGGAAGCTTCCAGAAGGTTCTGAAGAGGTCCGAAAGTCCACAAATGGGTCCACCATGTCACGTGCCATCATGGGCTGAAGGGGGGCGCCCTGGCCTGCATGGGCCAGGTGCACCAGCCCCTAAGAGTCCCATGTGGCTAAGACATGTGGAAGAGGACCAGGAATCCAACTCCTACTAGGAGTAGGACTCCTTCCCCTTGGCGCCAACTCCTATTAGGAGTAGGGCTGGACTCCCAGCCCTCCCACGCACATGCATATAAATATAGGGGAGGGGGAGCAACAAGGCACCTTGACACATTGGCCTTGGCTGCTGCCCCGTCTCTCCCTCCCGGCATAGTTCTCGTCCACGGTTTTTCGCTTAGCGAAGCGCTGTAGTTGCTCCACCACCACCATCACCATCATGCCATCATGCTGGTTGCGATCCCATCTCCTTCTTTGTATTTTTTTGCTGGATCAAGGAGGAGGAGAAGTCATCGAGCCGCACGTGTGCTAAACTCGGAGGTGCCGTCCGTTCGGCACTAGATCGGTTGGATCATGATCGGATCGCGAAGAGTACGACTACATCAACCACGTTATATACGCTTCCCCTTTCGGTCTACGAGGGTACGTAGACACACTCTCCCCTCTCGTTGCTACGCTTCTCCTAGATAGATCTTGGGTGTTCGTAGGATTTTTTTTTTGATTTTCATGCTTCATTCCCTTACGTACGGTTAGTCCACAAATTGCATTGTTATCAATCATCAAAACCACTAAGGGATAAATATGCCCTAATAGCGAGGACACACATCATGCGGTTGACGTGGCAAAGTTAAAATGAAACCAGGCTTCCAAAACTTTTTAGAAGGAAACTCTGACGGTTTTTGAACCTTTCAAATAGTAACTTGCAAATTTTTTATCGACTTTCAAAGCGGATTAATTTAACAATTAAGTCACATCTAAAAAGATTCACACAGATATTCACGCCAAATGAAATGATGTACGAGCTAGATGTGATTTACTTAATTCCCATCTACTAGATGAAAGCTAGTCACCCAAAAGTAGTGTTGACCTTTCAATAATGTAGTTCAACTTTCAAAAAATAATTATGCTAAGTCTCAATCCACAGTGAATACTATATTCATTCGTTCGATCTTACGTGGAGATCTTTGCAAAATTTTCCTTTTAGCTTTTTTTCTTCTTCTTATATGTTATGTCACTTCACTGAGACTTGGTTAAATCCCAGTCGACTGAGACCTAGCCACACCCTTCAAAAGTTAGTCTGACGTAGCTTTCCAAAGAAAATCCAGGATAAACCTACGTTTTTTTCCCACGGCGCCTGAAACGGAGCTCATCGTCGGTGGGGGAGAAGAGAGAGCAGAGCAGAAGAGGAAGGAAGGGAGCACTCCATGTAGGTCGTTATGTTTTCATACATGTGCCCGCCGAGTAACCGTGTCACCCAAATTCCGCTTGGGATGCTACTGCCAAATTCCGCCGAGTAATATATAATCAACCAACCCAAATCTCCGTCCCTAATTAATTAACACAAGAGAAGAGAAGAGAAGATATGGCTGCTAGGTGCGTGCACGCTACATGTCGGCCTTGTTGGCGGCGCCCGGCCTGGCCGGCCGGTGGCCCACGCGGCGGCGCCTGAGCGATAGCCGGTGGCCGCTGTCCTTGAACCTCGTCCGCTCCGACTCGACGAGGTCGCACTCCGGGAAGGGCACGGGGTAGCGCCTGGTGTCGTAGCAGTAGGAGTAGACCATGTTGCGCTCCCTGAACTGGCGCATGGCCTGCTGCTTGGCGAGCGTCATGACGGCGGGGTCGGACGCGGCCAGCGCGTCGGCGCAGCCTTCTTCCGTGGGGGAGGGGGCGCGGCAGCCGGCGAGGGCGAGGTCGGTGAAGGAGGCGACGAAGGGCCCGTACTGGTAGTTGACGCGGTAGCGGCCGCCGGAGGTGGCCCAGTTAGAGGCGTCCCAGACGGTGGCGTAGAGCGACATGGGCTTGGCCGGGAAGTCGCGGCCGGCGCGGGCGCGGCGCAGGTTGCGCACGGGCACGTCGTCGACGTAGAAGACGACGGCGTCGCGCGCCCAGAGGATGGAGTAGCGGTGGAACTCGGTGGTGGGGTCGAAGGGCAGCACGTAGCGCTCCTCCCGGCCCCGGCTGACGCTGCCGTTGCCGTACATGTTGGTCTGCATCCGCCACGGCTTGCCCCGGATGTTGCCCAGGAACTCGAAGTCCAGCTCGTCGTGCGTCTTGGGGAACACGTCACCGTTGGACGTGTAGAAGGCCACCACCACCCCCGCCGTGTAGTCGGACGGCAGTTTGATGGACGCGCTGAAGAAGCCGTGCTCGTACATGGCCGACGAGATGAACCCCGACCCTACCGATTTTAATTACCATTAACTGACGTAGTAGTACGTTGCATGAAATGAAAAACAGACAAACGCCCCAGAAATTAACGGAGGAAATCAAGCCGCCATGCGCGCGCATGCCACGAACGTACGGCCGGCCGGTCAGCCGGGGAGGATGGAGGATGGATGGACGACCGCACTCGTACGTACCGGTGGAGCGGTCGAGTAGGAGGCTGACGGTGCGGTCGTCGGCGGAGCGGAGGATGTTGTCGAAGCCGAAGAGCGGCGTGTAGCCCTCCCCGAAGGCCACCGTCGCGGTCACGTCCACCGTCGGCCGCACCGCCACCGCCACCGCGGCCACCGTCGCCAGGGCCAGCAGCGCCGACGCCAACCGCGACATGCCGCCGGCCGCGAGAGCGATCGATCGGTCGATCCCCTCTCCGGTCCTCTCCTCTGCTTGCAAGGGACTATACTAAAGCTATTTCCTGGTATATCCTCAGTTTTGGTGCTTGCCTAATTATTCACTCAGGCTGTTTTCGGGTCGGTTTATTCTTGGGTGGGTGACAAATTAATAAGGCGGAGGTGGAGAAACGGTGCAGGGAGGCCGGAAGACGGCCCCGTGACCGCCGGAGAAATAGGAGGAGTTAGCTTAGGCTTAGGGTCTGCTAGCTTTTATCCATTCATGACGCGCATGCAGACGCGCAGATGGAAATTATTTCGGAAACGGACGCGTACAAGGATACTATCTCGCCACCTGGCCAGGGACGGATTCAGAGGAGGGGAAAAATGAGAATGCTATTGTGCTGACGTTCCTGGGAAGGCATGGCAAAATGGACGTTTCTCGTTTACATTGTCTTTTTTTTGGAACTTCTCATTTACATTGTCTCGAGGTTGACAAATTCCTTCTCAAAGCACGGGAAATCCTGGCCAAAATAAAAATGAACTGGGCGGATATGCCATGCTCAAGAAATTTACCAAATAATCAATCAAAATCAAGATCGACCCATCTTTCTTTGCAGACACGGGAGAAGGAGTGCGGGGTGATGTAAGGCATGTACAATGGTTGATAAGATAGTCTTATCTTAAGTCATCCACGTAATTTAGAGATGATAAAAAAAATGTCTACAGTGGGTCATCTCTTAGCCATATCTTCAATAACTAGATATTCCTAAAAACGTGATGAGACATATTATGCTAACAGATCATCTCTTAAATATCTTTTCTTTCAACTTTCCTCTCCTCTACCTCATCATTTATCCTAGGTGGCACTCCTAAGATAGCACCATTATATATGCCCAATGGGAACGGCAAGGTCGTTTGCTGCTGGGAAATTGCTGAACCAGGGTACCGCTCTTCGGGCCGAAACTAAGGGCATGTACAATGGTTGATAAGATAGTCTTATCTTAAGTCTTGCATGTAGTTTACAGATGACAAAAAATATATATACAATGGGTCATCTCTTAGCCTTATCTTCAATAACTAGCCATTCCTAAAAACGTGGTGAGACATATTGTGCTAAGAGATCATCTCTTGTCTTCTCTTAAATAAGTGAAGACAAAGCCTTTTCTTAGGGCATGTACAATGGTTCTATCTTAGCAATGCCACGTAGGATAGATGTTGAGGTGGAGGAGAGAGAACTCATAAGAAAAGACGTGTCTTCTCTTATTTAAGAGAAGACAAGAGGTGATCTCTTAGCACAATATGTCTCACCACATTTTTAGGAATTACTAGTTATTGAAGAAAATGCTAAGATATGACCCATTGTAGACAATTTTTTTTGTCATCTCTAACTTAAGATAGGACTATCTTATCAACCATTGTACATGCCCTTATGAGTTATCTCTCCTCCATCTCATCATTTATCCTACGTGGCACTCCTAAGATAGCACCATTGTACATGCCCTAAAGGCCTATGGAAGGCCATCCAACTTGCAGAAAGTGCATGGTATGGGACGGGTCTAGCTACTTCGAAAGGACTGTATGAGTCTTCACCAGGTGCTGCAAGCACTGTCATGGACGGGGTTCACTTGGTTTCTCTTCCGCGAGTCAAAGTATCTCATGCATTTAGGTTTCTTTGAGTATAAAACACTGTACTACTCTCTGGTCTGTAATCTCCCAGTGCATGTGTTGGCTAAGGCTGGGTGTCGGTGTCAAAACCGGCGGATCTCGGGTAGGGGGTCCCGAACTGTGCGTCTAAGGCTAATGGTAACAAGAGGCGGGGGACACAATGTTTACCCAGGTTCGGGCCCTCTCTATGGAGGTAATACCCTACTTCCTGCTTGATTGATCTTGATGATATGAGTATTACAAGAGTTGATCTACCACGCGATCGTAGAGGCTAACCCTAGAACACTACTAGGGAAAACCCTAGTAGTAGCGCGGGTTTTAAGGCTAGCAGCAGCGCGGGTGGCCGCGCTACTAATAAGGCGCTACAGCTAACTTATAGTAGTAGCGCGGTCAGTACCCGCGCTACTACTGTTGACGATATCAGCAGCGCTTTTGCCGAACGCGCTACTATTAGTTAGTTGTAGCGATTTCGCAGTCCCTCGCTACTGCTATATCTTTCATCATTTTCCCCTGTACCCCTTTCCCTTTCAGATACTAGATACTAGGTACTGCTACTAGATATCAAATTCAGAAACCATTATAAGTACTGGGTAGTACTCCCTTCGTTCCAAATTACTCGTCGTGGTTTTAGTTCAAATCACGACGAGTAATTTGGAACGAAGGGAGTACTAGATAACAATTTCATGCTTAGTCAACATGCATCCTCAAGCAGTACAAGGTCATATCGACGGCGATCATCATATGTAGTTCTAGATGATATCGACGATGATCATCATATGTAGTTCTAGATGATATCGACGACGATCATCATATGTAGTTCTAGATGATATAGCCACACACACATATGTAGTTCTAGATGATATCGAAGACAATCATCATCCTCAAGCCTAGGCGGTTGGTGTTCCTGATAGTAATTAGGATGGCCTGTCCAACACGAAGATTCTTGCCATCGAGGAATTTCTTCCACCCAACCGAGTTTAAGTGTGTGCGACCGTCTGTGTCCACGCGGTAAGTACATATTGTGACGGAGCCCCTTGCAGTAAGGCGTAGTCCAGCTGAGCCTTCTTCATCAGGCTCGATACCATAACTCACAAATATGCTCTTTGCCAATTTCAGAATAACAAAAACATATCAATTAATAAATAGCCTCGCAAATAAGTACATATGGATTATCTACACTATTAATAGTTCCTTAGATTCTACACTAATAAGCATGTGATCGAACTCTACACTAAAACATATCATCGACTAGATTCCACACAACATACCATATCATTGGACTGTACACTAAGTATTTCATCGGATAATTTGCATTTGTAAGTATAACATACCATATCATGTCGATCAACCATGGTATTTGTCAGGCGAGTCACGAATGGCACCCCGACAAAGTCAGCACGTGGCGGAATTATGTCCCACAGGTTGGACACCTCCTCCACGCTCAGCCTTGTTCTTTGAGCTACGATGACTTCATGAAGTGGGTCCTCATCATCTTCATCGAGTGGGTCCTCATTATCTTCATCATCTTCGTCATCTTCATCATCTTCCACCAGGTTGAGATAAATGACAGCCAGCTTGGGTCTTTCTGCTCTGAAGGAGAAGCTGATCAACTCACCACCAGTAAGACTCATGCGGGCGATGAAACGGGCCCGTCCATCTCCTCCAATCTGCGACATATTGCGTCCTTTCTCGACCTCCATAGCGCCCCCCAGGAGCCTCAAATGTCACAGTGTCTCCTGTCAGCTTGTTGAATTTCAACCTCACATTGCATGGGACAATCTATGTAAAATAAGCAAAATGACACAATGCAGTAATGCCAACACTAAAAATAAAATAGTTATTACATTTCATCTAATTTCTTACCGCCGCATGACGAAAACTCGGCTGGAAGTAGATGCCGAACAGCTTGCCAGTTGCAAGGCTATTGGCACACCTTGACTTGCACAGTCGACATAGTGGTGGTGGTGGTGGCGCCATTTTTCCTAAAGCAATATGAGCAAAGGAATAACGATCCACTTCACAGGAAAGAAAAACATTAGCATGTGATATTTTTGGTTCTTCTGTGAGAAGCAATTTGATGGACAATTATAATCCTCAGATCTAGTAACATATTAGATGACAAGGTACCACCTACATTTTGCCAAAAAGTAACTTATTACAAAAAAAAGCACCTACCTATCCATGTACAGAAAAAATAACAATAAAATGGTGCATACTAAATCAACTAAATGAACTAGCCTACTAAAACTAAATCAAAATGTTCTAAATCAACTAAATCAAAATGTTCTAAATCAACTAAATCAACTAAATCAAAATGTTCTAAATCAACTAAATCAACTGAATAAACTAGCCTACTAAAACAACTAAATCAAAATGTTCTAAATCAACTAAATCAACTAGACTACTAAATCAACTAAATCATATCAACTAAATTATATCAACTAAATCATATCAACTAAATCAACTAGACTACTAAATCAAAATGTAGTAGGGAGGAGGGAGAAGGAGGGGTGACTCGAGGAGGGAGAAGAGAGTAGGACGGAGGAGGAAGGCGGAGCAAGGAGGGGCCGGCCTGTGGCGAGTGGAGGGAGGACGGAGGAGGAGGCCGGTACCGAGTCCAGCAAGGAGGAGGAGGTGACGGCGGCGCAGTGGGAAGAGGGGCGATGGGGGAGGACCGGCGTAGGGATCCAGTGAGTGTGTGAGTGTGAGTGGATCGGATAGAGGAGAGGGGGGGTGGGAGATGGAATGGCTTAGCAGTAGCGCGCTATAGAGAAAGACACTACTGCTAAACTACCTAGCAGCAGCACCTTTTGTTGGGAAACGTAGTAATTTCAAAAAAAATCCTACGCACACGCAAGATCATGGTGATGCATAGCAACGAGAGGGGAGAGTGTTGTCCATGTACCCTCGTAGACTGAAAGTGGAAGCGTTATAACAACGCGGTTGATGTAGTCGTACGTCTTCACGGCCCGACCGATCAAGCACCAAAACTACGACACCTTTGAGTTCTAGCACACATTCAGCTCGATGACGTCCCTCGAACACCGATCCAGCCGAGTGTCGAGGGAGAGTTCCGTCAGCACGACGGCGTGGTGACGGTCTTGATGTTCTACTGTCGCAGGGCTTCGCCTAAGCACCGCTACAATATTATCGAGGAGGACTATGGTGGAGGGGGGCACCGCACACAGCTAAGAGATCAAGAGATCAATTGTTGTGTCTAGAGGTGCCCCCTACCCCCATATAGAAAGGAGCCAGAGGGGAGGGGGCGGCCGGCCTAGGAGGGGCGCGCCATGGGGAGTCCCTACTCCCACCGGGAGTAGGACTCCCTCCTTC